CTGATGCTTCTTTAAACCACATTTGTAGTTTTAGAAAATCATCGCCCTCCAGTGTAATGGACTGAAGTTTATCCTTACAGTCCCGGTACAGCGACCCTTATGACTTGTGAGCTATGTTCCGCTGTTGATATTCGGTTCCTTGTATTGCAGTCACTGAAAAATATTCACAATTTGTTGTACAGGTAACGTTTTCCTTGCCCGGTCATCTGCACCTCGTATGTAAATTGTGTATGCGGAAACCTTTTGATGAGACCTCATATAAGCGTTCAATTATAAACAGTTCTTATCTAATTGATATATCATGCTTTACATGCTTTCGTCTACCGGAAATTAAGATAAACCCCAAACCTGTTTCATCTGGCGCGGATGAATCAGGTCGTGTGTGATTAAGCGGTTAAGGTCCATGCTTTGTCTTTTTCTCTCTCTCTCTCATACACACACATTCAAATGCATTGCACACATCACCAGCTCAAACCAATCTGATGCACCGCCAGGAGAATTAGCACTGCTGCGCTTGTGGTTAATTTGAGTTCGCTTTGTTCATGAGATGAAAAAGAACCGTTGTTTTTAAGGACAAACCGCCGTACACAGACTGCTGACGCAACAATCAGGATTCTGTGTTCGACGCAATAACATCTATATCCAATTCGTAATATATTGACACGAGAAGCTGCTGGGCAGCGCCTGGTAATTACTGCAGCCGTATTTGAATGTGTAGCTTCCGAAAAAAGTGCCACGATGAAAAACACAAAAGTAGATCTTCTTCGGAGAAATGAGAAGAAAAAGTACTCCGGGCGCTACTCTTAACTACGGTTAAACAAATGATTAAGCATCGGATAATTAAGTTAAGTCGATAAATCATACACCGACTATTTATTCTTTATATAAATTTCAACGAAGTTGAACACAGTTTTATTGTTTTATTTGCATTAAGCCACCGTTTGCACAACCAGCGTATTGTTGGCAAAAAGCAACAACAGATAGATGCAGGGCCATGAACCAGCAAATAAGTGAAGCATTCCGCATTATTTATCAGGTCCCCCCGAACCGGCCCAATACGTTAGAATGCGTACGTCGGCCATAACCGAGGCCATCTGTATTAAGCATTTGACCCCGAACAATGGGCTCAGAAACGTCTTATCCATCTCTCCATATCCCCTGGGTTCGCGAACCCACTCCTCTTCTATGGCCCCCTGCCCGCACACAAACATTTTCACACAACGACACCGATCTCTCAGAACTGGGTCACACAACCGTCGTGACATAACTGCAAACCCCGGAAGCACAGATCTGAGAATGCGGTGTGCAACACACACAACCGCAGACATACACACGAAGTGAACGGTTCCTTACGTTTTATTGTTTTCTTCCCAACCCCTAGGATTTTTCCCTCATATAAACTGTAACGGCATAATTATGAATTATTGAAAACAATGGTTCGCCTGAAATTGTGTTCTAAATGCGAGTATGGGCATATTCCGAAATTTGAAAGTTGTGCTCTTTGCTTTTGTTACTGAATAAGGGTAAGCCAAAAAAATTGTAATGTACCAGCTCATCAGAGGTTGAAAGTCAACAAAACAAGAAGATGTCTTGTACGTTATCAACATGCCCAGAGGAATATCCTCAAGAATATTGATCGGAGCATCTTCTAATGCTTTCGTTGGTTA